ATTGCACCTAGGGTACCGAATGTTAGCCCTCACAGTACTGCCATCACTGTGGCTAAAGCTATTGCCACCGACGCCTACCTTCTCCACTCTCAAACATCCAATTTCGTCTTGATTCGAAGTACTTAAAGAAGCTACATTAGCCACGTCAACCGACGAAACAGCACTACCTGTAGTGATTCCACTATCGTTACCATCACGTTTATTATTCACATCAACTACGCTATTGATAGATACATCAGGTTTCACCTCTACTTTGACGTTATTGTTGTCCACAATGATGTTCCGACTATTCATAGTTAATGACGAGTTGCAAGATAGTTGACATGCAGGCTTTAGAGCTAAGCTACCACTGCTGCCACTTACACTAACACTATCAATGTTGCTATGACTACTTGGACCAGTATACAACTGTCCATCCATCGACCGTAAACAAACATCAGCAGAACGCGCTAAGCTGCTATTATCTTCCGCTTCAATATCACGATGCTCCATAGAACTAGATATAGTAGCCTGCAGACATCCTGATTGCTCAGCAACATGAAGTGCTGTGTCACTATTGACACTTGTTGTCCTAGGATCAACTCTAGGTCCTGTTAAATAATTTACCCTACGTGAAGGGTTCCGAACATAAGCTTTATTCCATCCAGCCAATCCTGTTTTGTCCTTATTCATATTCACTGTACTCACTAACCTCTGTTTGCTCGAATCCAAATAACCGTTCCTTGCTTTTCGAGCAGTTAAGAGGCTTTTACCATCACACACCTCGGATCCATCTTGATGCCTACCCTTTTCGCCTTTTTCTTTCTTTTCCATACTCAAAAAGCCATCTTATCTGCTACACAAACCGGCTTCTCTCTAGGATATACATCAAGGGGTTTTAAACCATCGGGGTCACATACTCGTTCTTCAAGAGGGTACACTTTTCTGATACAATTAACAACTCTCTTAAATTCCGGGTGTGAGGTAGGTGTAAACGCATTTGAAGAGTCGTCATGTCTCGCCCGCGTATCACTAGTCACTTCCATATAGTTTTGCATGACCTTACATTCTAATTCGGCCATTTCAACCTCCTCTTGAAGTTCTAACATTTTAAGCTGTCCTTCTAACTAAAGTCTCTTTTCCAAATTCTTCTTCCTTAGTAATGCCCTTTCTAACCTCAATCTGGAAGTACTAAACTGAGATGAAGACTTACTATTAACACTAATACCATCACGTTTATCATCATTAAAGTCAGACATATCACAAACAGCTTTAGAAATTTTACCATCCATTTTGTCATTTTCCTTCAGCTTTTTGCTTCTAGTTTCCATTGAATGCTTTTGTTCGAAATCGATTACCAAGCAAATGTGAAATTAAACCAAACGTATTCGACCAATAATAACAAAAATTTCACGCAAAATATCCTGGGGCCAAAATGTCTCGGCGTATCCAATGTACGACAAAAGAATAAAAGCTGAAGGACTTTTAGACCCAAATGTCCAAAGGTATCCAATGTATGACCAAAGATTGAAATTGAAGAACTTTTGGACCCAAATGTCCAAAAGTATCCAGTGTATGACCAAAGAACCAAAATTGAAGTGTCCAAAGTATCCAACGACCAAATATAAAATAGAAGAACTTTTGTTACGTCCAATTTTTTGCTCTTTGATCCTTAGAAGCATTGTGTGTCGATCTATTTACAATTCACGATCCCAAATCAAGGTGAAACTAAATTCCAAAGTAAGGTACCAAAGTTTATTGTCAATTCACAAATAATCGACCAAAATATTGTTGGTTTATTACAAATAGACGACCAATGTCGTTCTAACCACAATAATTATAATAATTACAATTACCTTCTATTTTATAGATTCCTGGAGCAAAAAACTGCAATCGAACAAACCACGACAAACAGGGGTCCGAAATGGCCGAAAATAATAATTCAAACAAGTTCATTAGTTAAGTAAAACAAATATAACCAAAAAACACAGTGAAATTATTGATATTTATACAAAGGTTCTGATCAGCAAAATGTCTTCATTTCTCACGTAACACACCCAAAGTGACCACAATCCCCTCTTTGAGTAGTTTCAAGAGGAGAGTTAATAAGCTCGTCCCCACATACAATCATCATCTCCCGCTTCGGCCAGCTGAGTCTGATGCAAATCTCGGAACTAGCTAATTGTTACCATTGTCATTTCCAAAACTAGTTGACTTATTCTATCCGTCTTATTATCCTTATTTCCTCCCCCCTGCTAAAATTCCTGCCCTCTTTCACTATATTCCGTGGTAATTAAATAACTTACTCCATTATTTACATAGTTCTAAAAATTTCCTTTTCTCAAAAGCATTGGAATTTTCCTCTACTATTCTACGTTCTGCAAATAACTGACCTTTATCTGATACTGCTGGCACCCGGAAACCTTACTACCCAGAGATAAACACACTCGCTCAAATCGTGTGACACAAATTAAAAAATACGTGTCAACCGAGTGTCTGGACTACCATTCATAAGATATTACCAAATAACTGGAAGAGTGTCGAAGGAACAACAGAGGGGCGCAAAGAAATCATTTGGTTCCTATTAGCCCGTGAAAAATATATTATTCGCCGAATTGCAAACAATCGATCTCTGGTCTGCTAATGTGATAGCTTCTGGTATCTAGAAACCTTACTTCCATGAAACAGACGTACTCATCCAAATCACGGGATATATAAACTCACAAACAACTGCCAACTGATTGGAATTAGACAGTCGAGTGGCTAGACGTATATCCATTGGACACTACCAAACATCTGGGACCGTACTGAAGAACAAGAATCGAGCTCAAAGAAATCAATTGGTTTATGCTAGCTCGTGAAAAAGATATTGGATATTGGATACTAGAGGCGGGTGTTTTGGGTGTATAACGCTGCAATGGTTTGTTCACTATTTGTAATTGTAAAATGATAATTGACTTACAAGTAAATTTTTTTTTCCTGTAGTCAATTACTTACAGTTTTCATTTTTCATCTGAACGTGCATATCAGCACCGTATATTACATGGAAGTTTGATGAGAAGTGTTTGTCTTTAAGAATATACCTATCATCAAGGGTTATTAAGTGAATTTTTGACATTCAGTAAATATACTGAAAACCACTAGCATTAAGAAGTGTAATGAAGCCTTTCAATGATAACTTGGCCAAGTCGTCGTATGCGGTAACATTGCATTATATCTAGAATTTATGGAAAAAATCAGTTTGTCATGTTAAGTTGAGAATTTGTGAAGTTACTCAATAGTCTTTCTGTGCTTCCTCTTTATATCGTTTGGTCCATCAGGGTGTCAGGGCCTGTGTGGTTGCAACATAGGGTGAGGTTGTTCTATCTAGGTTGTAGTGTTAGTACTTGTTTAGTGTCTGGTTCTCGTCAAACTAATATAAAAGTGAATATCCAGTGTAATCGGGTTGATAGGTGCACAAGATACAACTAAAGGAGTCATTAAATCCTAATTACACACCAGTATCTCTTATGGGCTCCAGGACCCTGTGAAATCAAATAGCGTGTAAACTTATCGTTGGTCACCAGCTACAGTGGGACTGCTTATTCTTACGTTGCTCCCCTGCCCTATGGATTCTACCTTATGACCGAGGACTTGGAGGTTGGCCCTCCAAAAAAACTACCTGCTGCTGCTTAGGACTCCGGACAGAATACCAACCCTTTCACAAATTCAATAACTTGTGTGGCTCATAAACATTTAGGTTTCCGTTTGTACCAGTGTTCTTGTGTTTAAATAAGTAAATAAAGCATCTACTTATGTTAATCACAATAAATTGGTGGCATCACCCATTCTCAAGAAGCAATTCTCAAAATAAACCTGCGAATCTGTATTTGATAACTGTGCTGCGTCAAATTTTAGATCATAAACAAACTAAGTTCATCTTGGGTAAGACGGTTATTATTTCTCAAGCTATGGGTAGGATGTTGGTCATTGAAAGTCTTGGAAGTAACGTAATGATGCTTTTGTTGTCGCATAGTTTGGGCAGGTTTCAAGATTATGTGGTCATTTAATGCCTGATGAAGTAATCACTGAAATTCTAACCGCTACACAAAGTTTGTTATTTTGTTTTATCCCGTTTCAGTACATGTTAGTTTTAAGTTTCTTCGCTCTTAAATTGCATACGAAAAATGCGTGAGCTTGTACAACATTGTATTTGTTTGGGTCGATACATCTTGAGACGACGTTATCGAGAAGCAAAAAGAATACCAAAACGGGAAAATATTGGCACGGAGAGTGTGACGAATCGGTGTATTAACTTGTTACTTACTATCCAACCGAAAGGTTGGGATAGATGCGCCGTAGTTTTTTAGCATCACTGAACTCTCTCTACTAAGGTGATATCGCTTCATTTAAGTCTGGCAAAAGTTTAATAAGTTAAAGAGTCAACTCAATACATTGATCTAACGGTTTTAAGGGTTTGAAAGCCAATCATCGTCAACGTTGTTACTGACACCAGTATGCCTCAATCCAGTTTTCCACATTATCGTACAACAAATCAACATTATAGGATATAGAGAAATAGAAATAGTTTAAATTGCAGTAAACTGAGAATACGAAAGAAAAACTGAAAGTTTAGATCTTTTCAGCTAACGTCTTCCTAAACATACATAATACATGTTTCACTCATCCCAGTCGATGTTTATCAATATGTTAAGTGATATATCTGCCTTATTTAAATTCAAAAATCCATAAAACGTTTCCCTGTTAGCTTTTAAATAAATAAACCAGAAGCTGATTTTAAATCCTGTGGTATAAGAAGCAAATCAGAAGAAAAATTAATTAAGCCTAAATTCTTTTTTGTTCATACATAAATTATGGAATCTTCTGTAAAATTACTTGCGTGGCAACCGGATTTTTCTGACAGATTTCCAGTTACTTTTTTAAAGCTAAGGGCTGCATTTAATAGATACCTGTTTTCTTCTTCCATTTCATAGGATAATGCTCACAAAATTTTTTATACTGGGTTAATTTAGCGACCAAAAATGTTGAACATTCCTAAAAGAGTCAGTATAATTGGTAAATATTAATTGTTAAACATTATTCATCTTATTTACTGTCTTGCCAAATTTTCTATTTATGCAGTTTTTTACTCACTAATATAATTCATTGAGTTGAGTGTGATCATTTCTGCAATTTGTTTTCGTATTTTCAAGCAACTCAGTGTTATTCAGCAGTGTTATTGTATTTTAAATTAATTGTACTGTGTATTTCATTGTAAACCCTTTCGTATTCCAGATACACATTACCATCAGATTTATTGTATTCTTGTGAAATTGTATATGAGTAGTAGTATGCTCATAACATGTAAAGTTTTTGATTTCATATTCCTCTCTGCCTAAGCAAACATTTTCAATGCTATTTTACATATGGCTTGCTGTTAGATTCGAATTAATTACATTTATCTGATAGAGCAATGTATTTTATTTAGGTTTTCACCATTCTGAAATGTATCAGTTATTATTTCAAAAACAATTTATTGACGTCATGGTTCAATGTTCAGTTTATTATTTGTAGGCGTTACCACTTGTTTATTCGGTTGCTTATAGCTGCATCTCATTTAATACTAAATTTTAATACTAAATCACATAATTCTTTATGGATCTCCTTTGGCCGTATTTTATGCTAACATGTATCCATTTAATTTAATGGTCAGTCTTTATACCTTGTATTCGTTCAGTACAAGTGTTATCAGTTATGACGAAGTAAACTTAGCAACTGTTTACTGATTCTTTTTTTGATCAGTTATCACATTCACAGGTTCGTATGGTATTTTCTCAGCCAAAATAATCAAACACTAGAACCACACATAAGTCAGTCAGTCAGTCAGATGCAACGTAGAACTTCGTACATAAGTACATCAGTTCATGTCGCCGCCATACCACATCAGCACAAAGATGTAATTGTCAATTCAAATCCAATAGTAGAAGAGGTAGAAAGGGTATTAGAATCGCGAAACTTTCCTGAAAATTCCTGTAATTTTAATTTGAGCTGGTCTCTAACTGTGCGCCAGCATGAAAATTTAAAGAATAATTATCTATAAGATTATTTATTATATTATTTTATATGTAACCATGAATCGATCAATGTTAAACCACCATTAGAAACCTGGAAGCACTGAGAGACGGCTGTTTCGTCCTGGTATGGGACTCCTCAGCAGTGGCAGTGCGCATCCACGACTCCTGCACCCTGCAGTATTCGAACCCAGGACCTTCGGTATTGTGCGCGAACGCCCTAACCGTAAGACCATACCGTCCTATACCAGGACGAAACGGCCGTCCAGTGCTTCCAGGTTTCTAATGGTGGTTTAACATTGATTGACTCATGCTTACAAATAAAACTTAACAATCTTCACAACAACCACGCAATGCTATTATATTATTTGACGACTTTTTTTTTTTAAAACTCAGTTTAAATGTAAATTCACTGAAATGTTTATGCGATACCTATTTTTTTTATTTACCAATTAATCTGTTTGCACTTTTTTCATACATAGTAAAGCGTGGAGAGAATTTGGAATACACTTCAACACTTAAAAAAGGTATGTTTTGAAAAAAAAAACAGTTATTTACTAAGTAGTTGAAGAATCAATTTTGATGAAAATTATACTTTAGGGATAGTAGTGATCTAATGACCTAAGCATTCATCTGTAAACCAATAGACTACATGTTCAAACTTCATTTCGTCTGTTATTATTGTGTCAACAACCGAGTAATGTCACTTGAAGAAATAAATTCATACATGACAAATGAGCTGATAGCTTTGTTGTAGCTAATAACTGAATCGTATAAAACTATGAAGCATTGATTTGAAAATTCAACATGTTTAACTCATTTTATTTTATTTTTCTCGCTGTTATTTTAAAAAGGATGGTATTTGAACAATAGGCATCATTTTTTAATGAACTGAAATCTCCTAATCCAATAAACTGAGCTACATACATATTTGGTAGTTTTTAGAATAATAATTATAAACTTAATGATAGGCAGCTGTCACACCTGCATTATCTTGTTACAGGTGTATCATACTAGTTAGTATGTGTGGTATGGAATAATAAGAAGTATGATCATACTTGTCAGTCAATATATTATTATTGACAGTCAAGTGCACATAGCAAGTCCTACTGACTTTTTATATAATTTCATAAGGTTTTACTTTAACCTACTTACTGTTTACTCTTCTCTTCACAATACTTCATTTTAGTTTGATTAAACATAGGTTTTTAAATAAATGTAGAAAGATGCATAGCTTAAGATTAAAGTGACAATTGTTTGAAGTTATTTGTGTTTGTATATATATCATATATTTGAGTTTTTACTGGTTCTCCTCAATGTAATAATGTATACAGAACTATGAATGTATGATAATCTAAGTGGAATTTTATTTATGACACAAAAGTGCTTGGCGCAGTTAATAAGGGAATTAAAATATGCATAAAAACCCAAATATTATGGGATTTGTCGTCTTTACTGCTGGATATCTGACTTATATTGGTCGGAAACAAGCATAGCAACCTTCAGTCTCGCATAAATTTGTATTGGGATAAATTACTGCCTCGGACAAGAGCACGGAGAGAAGGCTGAAACTGAGTTCGTCCGTTCGTCCGTCCCATAGTCATTAATTTCAAGCCATATTGTCCTTCATATACTCAACAGGCAATGGACGAAGGTTGCACAACATCATGGATTGATTGAAGTTCAGTCATGTAGTTTGGAACGGGGTTTCAAGAAACCAGGAAGGTTGTTTCTTGAGGGACCTGAAAAGGAAGATGGATTAGTGTTGGTGCGTGACCGCAGAGCCCAAGGGACAACCGCTTGGGGCCGGTCACGCACGGCCTTTTTATGAAAGGTATTTAGAGGATTACCTCCGTTCTTAAAGGCCTTTAGTGGGCACCCTTACCCAGGGAGACGGAAATCCGTGAGTTAGGGGAGGTGTGACATTTTTATTGCCGACCTTTTCTAACCCTTCCTTCCTTGTGAGAAGGCAGCATCGCTGCAGATGCTGGTTGTCCGAGGGAAACACCTTACTGCTGTCACACCCCTCCATAGTCAGTCAGCGGTACGACTTCGCCCTCAGACCTTGGGTAGCTGCTTTTAGTCTGATCGTTCTCCAATCGACCTGCCTGGCATGGTAGGACCTGCAGGAACATATGTTCCAACTAGTATAGCTCGGTTGGGTCATCACGATAGGCAAGCCCGACCACCACGTCAAGGTAGCAGCTTCGGTCGGGGATTGATTGAAGTTAGTTATTTAACACCACTGGTTGCCGACTCAGTAGTCTTAAGATCGAATGTGACTTACCTACTATTAGGCTCCTCTAGTTTCTTTACTCTCGTTCAGTTGAACAACAATATGCAGATGACTGTCTACTGCAATACTGTTTACAAATGTTCATCTTGTATTTGAATCCTAATACTTTGCTTACGCCGAAATAACTAGAAGTTACTTACTTCTAAGTGTTCCGAAAGTGCCAGCTGACGTGGTTCTTCACATCAGTTTGACTCAATGTCAGATGCGCAATCCCATATGGTTCATATATGTTGTTTATTCTAGAGGCACATAAAGCATCCAGGGAAAAAGGTTTCTTCTATAATTTATGTTCTATTACTGAAATTCAGTGACCTTGACGCAGGTGCACTCATCGTTTAACGTACCCTAAATTTTTAAAACATTGAATTAAATAAATGCTTCTCTTTCTTCTACTTCATTTGTTCTCTTGAGACTAGATTTCTTGGTTTTGTAGTGTTCTACTTTTATTGACGCTGATTAGTATTCCTCTCATTTCCTTCTACATTTCTGACTTCCTATCGGTGTACTGATGTAAGGCTTGGTAGGTTAAGCTAATCAACTGCAGTTCTCGGCACTTCTCTATTATTTCTGTCTATTCGCGACCCTTATTTCAGACTGAACTTCCTTTAAGTACCGATCTTGTTTTGTAGCTAGGATGTTTTAGGATTGGTCGCTGTATCCGTCGTAACGTCTGAAGATAAGTGACATGTTAATATATTGAGAAATCTAGTGGAATTTATTTTGGTCCAAAATTCACTGTCTAGATCCCACATATTATTGTTCATGATAACTACTGACTGTTGGGAAAAAATAGATCAGATAGTTGATTCATGGCCGCCTGAGAACTAATTTGTTCAATTTTGTTTTGAATAATCAAGTTGTCGGCTCTCAACAGATGTTTTCTGATGTAGGGGGGTAGGCTTGAAGAAAGCCCTAGGGGTGGCAAAACCAAAACATGCCACAAATCCATGAAGCCATTTACAACCGAACTGATCCATGTTAGTAGATGCAGACTGCCACGTTAGGGTCCGAGTGATACTCATAACCGGTAGTAGTAGTAGTAGTAGTAGTAGTGTGGTGCGAGCTACTTATAAGTAGTATATGACGTGAGTGTCAACATAATGTCTGGCAGTAGAAGAAGATGGGGGGAAAGATCAACAAAAGGAAGAGTTAGAAGAACAGAATGAAATTTGTATGAAACGCATGAATAGTGACAATGGATTGATGTTTTGCAACAGGAACAGTCCAGTTCGATATGATGATGAACTGATATTTCGCAAATGAACAATTTACGATATGGTTTTCCTATTTTACTACTGAGTAACTCTGTAATTTTCGTTAAATACAATTCGGTTGCCCCATCTGTGTTCTCCTTCACTACAGTAGTAGTAGTAGTGAGAACGTTATTATTGAATTGTTAACAATACCTGTTAATGTAACAAAATATTTGGCTAATAGTTAAATTATTATCATTTCATAACAAGAAAACTGTCACTTTTTTAAAAACAGTTGTTGTATAACCAACTAGTATAAGTTGATGTGTGCAATATTTTTCACTAGTTTAAGAAAAATATCTTTGCAATACAAATGGAATGCATTTTAATATCATGTGATCTTTTTAATCAAATCATTCGATATATTTTTTTTTGTATTGTCTTTAATCCTATCCATGTATTATTATTGCTTTAAAATAGCTTCGAAAAATCGTCGATGGCGTGTTATATTCTTAGGTGGAGCAGATAAACTAGCCTCAGATTATGTTGATGCAGAAAATGGATGTCCAACATTTGATTGTGAAGTGACATTGTAAGTGAAACTCTGAATTGGTAAATTTTATTTTTACAATTAATTCTAATTTAATCAAAGTCTTAAAGTTTTTATCAAATTAATCTAGTTTTTTTGATTGGTTGAAAATTTCCTTAACAAATGTGGTGGCTTGAGTGATAAAATCAATTCACGTGTAGTGAAAGCCACGATGACCTATGCCAATCTAGGCCATCTTTGGCTCTTTTGTGGTGTTAGTCTGGATGTAAAAGATCGGGTCTTTCATTGCGTTGGTAAGAGCGATTCTGCTCTATCCTTGTGAAATCTGACTCCTTCTAATTTAGGATGTTTGGCAGCACTCTGTGTTCAATCATTGTTATCTCCAAAAAAGAATTGCTGACATTCGAGGCAACACCCCCTATTGGTAATGCAAAGTGTCGGCAACGTGTGTTTGGGTACAGCTATAGATAATTCAGTTGGTATCACCATCTTGAAACACCAACTTCTGAGTCTTGAACATGTACATTTACTTACAGACGTCGTTCCAGCAAGTTCCACATCGTCTAGTATTTGAAATAAAGCTGTACAGGACTGTTATATTCTGTCCTTCACAACCCTACCTTGTTGGTATCGTAGAGATGGTGCAATTCAGTGGCTTGAGACATTATCAGACAGCTCAGAATAGAAGCCAGTGGCGTTCCTGTTGCAAGTTTCTTTTAATTTCTTCATATAAGTGAGAAGAACTTCTTTAACTGAGAAATTTTCTGGAGTTTCATAGGCGTTCCAAATCTATATCGACTTCTTTGGCGTTAACTGACCTAACTAGGGAAAATGTTTCCAGTTCCACATCTTAGTCATTTTTTTGCCACCTGTTTCTTTCATTCGACAAATAGTCAATTCTAGTTACAGTCTCGGTCATGTCTGCTTCGGTGTACGACGATCGGAAAAAAAAATCGTTCAACCCAATTATTATCCTCTTCTCTCTTATAGAGTGTGTGGAGATAAAGCGCTTTTGGTCAGCAAAACCTTTTTAACCAGGCATGGTACCAATATTGTCCCATTTCTCCCTATCAAATCTTGCGGTTCTCACCCTCGAAATGCAAAATGTTGCTTCAAGATTGGGTTGCATCGGCGCCTGAACTAGTGATAGGGAGTGAAGTAGTCGAATGTGTAAACCGCTTCACTTATCTTGGGAGTCTCATCAGTGCTGATAGCCTGGTGACTGACGAAATCTCAGCTCGGATGCAGAAGACTCGATTAGCTTTTGCCAACCTGCGTCACCTATGGCGCAGGCGAGATATCCGTTTGCTGACTAAAGGACGAGTGTACTGTGCACAAGTTCGCTCCATCCTACTGTACGGATGCGAGACTTGGCTGTTAAGAGTAAAGGACTTTCTTAGGTTACTAGTCTTCGATCATCGATGTCTCCGAAGCATTGCTCATGTATCATGGGACAACCGTATAAGCAATGCTGTCGTTAGGAAACGAGTTCTAGGTAGGGATGGCAGATCAATAGATGAAGTAGTGAAACTTCATCATTCGAGGTGGTTGGAACATGTGTTACGTATGGCTAACCACCGACTGCCTCGGAGAGCTATGTTTTTCAGTGTAGGAGTAGATTGGAAGAAAGCTAGTGGCGGCCAGAACAAAACATGGCAGAAATCCATGAAGTCACTGACAAGTGGACTGAGTCATGTTGGTAGATGTAGACTACCTGGTTATGGTCCGCGAGACGAAAGTCACCAATGGTTAGATAGAAACCTTGAATGACATGGCTCAAAATCGTTTGCAATGGCGCGCAGGTGCATCCACTCTTTGTGTTCTATGAAATTCTAAGCTTCTGCATTCTTCATAATCTCTACCTTTCTCCTTCTAACTTTATCTTACTTTAATTATACTTCTCGAATCATATCTTTGCTCCCTAATCTTCTCCATTATTGCTATCACTGTTAGATTTGAACTAACAGTTGCGTCTCTGTGCTGATGGGGGGGGGCATGGCAACCTGAACTGATGTACATATGTACGAAGTTCTGCGTTGTGTCTATCTATCTCTATCAAATCTTAGTTGTTGAACTATTTATTGAGTAACTATATATAATCAAATAAATACAACTATTATAAATCCGACAAACTTTTTGTATGCTACACAGATATGAATCACGAATTCTTTTATTTCACGAATCATTAATTAGTTCATTTTTTCTTAATCAAAGAAAAAAATCAATTTTTTGTTCAATGTTTCATATCTCGTTTCATTTCATCGTGTTCACATATGTCAAATTCTTCTTAATCATTGTCTTATTAACAAAATCAACCAATGAAATATATATTTATCTCTGCTATGAAGTAATATATATTCTCATTGATATTCACTTGTTATTATTCATTTTGATCATAGTATAATATCTTTGTTTTCACATGGTGTTTCGATGATGGATGGATGCATTCGGAATCCATTTTGCCATGCATCGTAGTATTTTGGTGTACAGTTATTGTGGTAGCTGTGACTAGGTTCCACACGACCGGTTAAACACACTACATCAGTTGAGGTGGTTGGGACCAACCAGCCACTGCCTCGAAGAGCTATATTTTGTGGTGTAGGAGTAAGTTGGAACAGTGCTAGGGTTCGGCCAAACCAAAACATGGCAGAAATCCATGAAGTAACTGACAAGTGGACTGAGTCATGTTGGTAGATGCAGGCTACCTGGTTGGGGTCCGCAAGATGATAACAACCGATGATTAGAGACCTTGAATGACATGACTCAAAATCGTTTGTGTCCTTTCAAATTCTAACCTCCTCAATTCTTCATCATCTTTATCTTTCTCTTTCTAAAGTTATCTCACTGAATTATACTTGTCGAATCATATCCTCGAACCTTAATCTTCTCTATTACCAGTAATGGTTCTACAATCTCTACCACACTAGGGGATTTGAACTGACAATTACTTCTCTTTGCTAATGCGTTATGGTGTAACCTGAACTGATGTACATACGTACGTACGAAGTTCTACGTTGTAACCGACTGACTGACTACAATAAATCTGCTAAATGTTATTTTGTTTGTTGTACCAATTTTGATTTTTCGATTAATTTCTGTTATACATATATGTAATTCATTAAACTTATCAGATACTTCTTCTCCCTCTCTTTATGGAACTTTCTTTTTTCTGTACAACTGATAATAATATCCATTTCTATAAATTAATCTAGAGAGGGGCTTTAGTCTGTATTTTTAATGAAGTATTGTTATGGATTATAGGATTTATTAATTTGACACATTCCAGTATGTTGAATTGAATGTTTACTTCATGTAGTACGCTGGTGTAGTGTATACACATTAATGGATGTTTGAATTTGTTAGTGGGACATAGATGGAATTAAAGCATGACCACGTTGCTGCGCGCTGATTGGCCAATTTCCTATCCAATCAGCGCCCGATCGAATCTTGGAGAACAGGGTAGAAGATTCTCATATTGTTAGCTGCGTGCGGATTGGTTAAATCTAATCCTGTCGATCACGTGAATTTCTATCCAGAAGCTTCTCATGTAAATGCTATAAATAGACTAACGTTGTATCTATTTTCGCCTTCGCCATCACCTTTGGCTTCTTATTCCTTGCTATTTTGGAATATAATCTTTTCCTGTTCAAACGTGTTTTGATTCTTGGGAACTTGTCCAGTGGTGTATTGTGGTCAGAGAATACTAAGCAATAGGATTTAGCCGGGAATTATCTAAGCAGGCATTACAACAGCATTAAATAAATAATTATTATGAGGAGCAAAAAGATTGTTGGCACAGCAATTTTCTGGCCCAAAAAAATAAAAATTCAAATTCTAAAGATGAATGAGGGCTTTTAATGACCTTTCTAATACAGAGTCATGTGTTACTTACGCCGTATCACAACGTAGCTAAGTGTGTTGTCGTACAAGCTTAATTGAGATTAAACTATAGAATCTTGGAATGTTTTGTTAGGCAACAGATTGTAACTAAATTATTATCAAGGGAATGAGTACTGAGCCTACATGAATTAGCTTTTGAAGATGTCCGATCCTGGTTACCATATTCCTGGAGATCGTTGGTCATATGATGATTGTTTAACAGTTTAGCCTTTTTTTTCAAAATTGTTTTATGAAACTGTTGTTTCATTAACTGTTGACCAACATCATGTGAAAAATATAGAAAACCCAAATAGGATTACACCGTAGCATCGGAAAATCTTGAGTCAGCGCGAAATCCTTGTTGGTTCAAAACTCGATAGCTTATTTCTTTCAATCCTACCTCTTAGTTCAGAACTCTGTAGCTAGCCTCTACAAAATTCGTTATACTTCAACATAAACAATGTTTATGTACCAAGCAAACCAGATCGATCACACCATAGAATGATAAAATACATTTACACATTAGTGTACCAAAACTATCTGTGAATAGGAGAGATTGTAAGTAATAAGCTAACAGTTGGTGTAGAATAATAAATCACACAACAGTTTAGTTAATAAGTCTATTGATCTCTTTTTTCCTTCCAAACTTTTCTTAAATAGAGATTTGATTAGTCCATCAGATCCAGTTTCTTTACGTGTTGTTGATGGAGATAATCATCACATTGGTCAAGTTAATGTCCCATTAAATCAAATTCCACAAACTGGCGATCCACATTTCGATCTGTCACGATTATGTTATTCTGAATTAGAACCAACACGAAAAAATTCTCATCCACATGGACGTTTAGTTTATTGGATTTGGGCTATTGACTATTGGCCACCAGGAACTCAAGCTAATACCATACAACATTCCAAATCATCATTACGTGGTTCATTGACACATCTTGGTTCAAAAATACGTTCAAAGTAAGATATATATATATATATATATATATATATATATATATATGTTCGATTTATTCATTGCTTAAGCTACCTAATATCATTGATATCTGTCTATGGTAGAGTGAATGTATCTATTTGACTGTCAATTACATTTTTACACACTGTGCTATAAATGTACGTGATATTAATAGTTTTTTTTATTAAATGAATGACTTAACAGTTTAGCTAGGAGATAGTACTCAGCATTCATTACGGTATCGTCGTAAACTAGGAAGTACTGGATTTACAAATAATCCTGTTACAAGATTCATTGTCAGTGCTCATTCATTACACTCTTGGTCACTGAATCAAGCGCCTTCATGTCTCGTACATTGCTTTTTAAACAGAAATATAGTATTTTAAATTCTCTGCATTAAAGCTGATTATCAGACAGACAGACAGATACAACGCAGAACTTCGTACGTCTGTGTACATCAGTTCAGGTTGCCATGCACCCCATCAGCACAGAGAGACGCAACTGTCAGTTCACATTCAAGAGTGATAGTAATAATAGAAGTATTAGCAGTAATGGAGAAGATTAGGGTGCGAAGATATGATTCGAAAAGTGTAATTCAGTGAGATAAATTTAGAAAGAGAAAGGTAGAGATGATGAGGAATTCAGAAGGTTAGGATTAGAGAGAAAACAAATAGTGAATGCATCTGCGCCATTGTAAACGATTTTGAGCCATGTCATTCAGGGTCTCTAACCATCGGTGACTATCGTCTCGCGGACCCCAACCAGGTAGTCGACAATTACCCACATGACTCAGTCCACTCGTCAATGACTTCATGAATTTCTGCCATGTTTTAATTTGTCCGCCCCTAACTTTCTTCCAACCTCTTCCTACATCGCAAAACAAAGCTCGTCGCGGCAGTCGGTGGTTAGCCATACGTAACACATGTCCTAATCATCTCAACTGATGAAGTTTCACTACTTCATCTATTGATTTGCCATCCCTACCCTAGAACTCGTTTCCTAACGACAGTATTGCGCTTATACGATTGTCCCATTGATACAAAAGCTGTCTAATAATAATATGGAGGAACTAGATAGATAATTTTTCACTCTCATCTCTTTAATTTTAGATCTAAGCATAAATCTAAAAATGATAATGGTTATACAAATGGTTATCAAACAAGTGAAATAAATGGGTCATCATCATCAACTACTACTTTACAAGTACCAACCGGTATGTCATATAATCCATTTGACAATGATGGTACTTTGAGTGAATTCAGTGGACCAATGGGTTTACCACCAATGTATCAATCCTATTCTAATAGTCCATATAC